ATTGGTTGAACTCTGTAATTAACACACAATTATTCTTAGGTGTTTAAATTTTAACTGAAAAGTGATCCCTGTTAGGAAGTTGGAAAACATTATGCTGAGTGAAATAAGCCAATCCCAAAGGGACAAATGCCACTTGTTCTCCCTGATAGGTGACAACTAACTGAGCACCAAAAAGGAAACCTGTTAAAGTGAAATGAACACTATGAGAAATGGTGACTTGATTAGCCCTTGCCCTGACTGTTGATGAACAAGTTAATATGTTATCCCTCTTAGTTTTTTTTTTTTATTTGTTCTACTTAATACTTTTGGTTGAATACTGTAATCAATACACAATTCTTCTTAAGTGCTGAAACTTAACTGAAAAGTGATCGCTGTTAAATGTAAGAGTGGGAATAAGAGAGGGAAGAGATGTGCAATTCGGGACATGCTCAAGCTGACTTACCTCAAACGGTAGAGTTAGAAACATACCAGGGGATTCCAATTCAATCCCATCAAGGTGGCATGTACCAATGCCATCTCACTAGTCCCAGTGATCAATTTCTGTTCACAATTGATCATAATGATAGGACTGAGAGTCAAAGGGATCACATAAACAAGATTAGTGTCTGCAAATACTAGCTGATAGAATAAAAAAGGGAGAGAATGATCCAACATGGGAAGTCAGATACACAGCAGACCCATAGAATGGCAGATGTCCTAAACAGCACTCTGGCCTCAGAATCAGCCCTCAAGGCATGTGGATCCAGCTGAAAGGCCCATGAGACTATTTCAAGCATGGAAAGCCAAGACACTCTGGGGAAAAAAAAAACCTAAATGAAAGATCTCTGCGAGTGAGATCCCAGTGGAAAGAATGGGTCATCCAAGAAGGAGGTACCTTTCTCTGAAGGGAGGAGAGAACTTCCACTCTGACCATGACCTTGTCTAAAAATTATCAGAGTCGATGAACTCAGGGGTCTTCCATAGCCTTGGCAGCTCATGACAAGAGCCTAGGGTGATTACTGATGCCATAAACAAGAGTGTCAATTTGTTAAGTCAACAACAGGCGTCACTGTGCACTTACTCCTCATGCAGGATCTTTGTCCTTAGTGTGCTGTACATTGAGATTTAATGCTATAACTAGTACTCAAACAGTATTTTTCACTTTACGTTTCTGTGTGGGAGCAAACTGTTGAAATCTTTACTTAATGTATGCTAAACTGATCTTCTGTATATAAAGAGAATCGAAAATGAATCTTGATGTGAATGGAAGGGGAGAGGGAGTGGGAAAGGGGAAGGTTGCGGGTGGGAGGGACGTTATGGGGGGGGGAAGCCATTGTAATCCATAAGCTGTACTTTGGAAATTTATATTCATTAAATAAAAGTTAAAAATGGAGAAAAAAAAGAAATATAGGTTACTTTCTTGATATAATAAAAGTTATATGCAAAAAATCTCATAGCTAAAATTATACTCAATGGTGAAAATTTGAAAACCTTCCTTCTTAAATCAGGAATAAGACAAGGACACACATTTTTATCATTTCTATTTAGGATTGTAGCATTAGTTCTGACCAGAGCAATTAAGCAAGAGAAGAGGGGAAAAACATTCAAATAAAAGGAGGAAATGACACTGTCCCTTTTTGCAGGTAATACAATTTTATATAGGGAAAATCCCAAAGAATACACACACAAATGCATTCACAAATTCAGCAAACTTTTATGATTTAAGTTCACACAAAATCAGTTGTATTTCTACACTCTAGCAGTGAATAATCAAAAAAGAAATAAACAATTTAATTTACAACAGCATACTTAAGACTCAAATTCTGAAGTATAAAAATTGTCAAGGAAATGCACGACACATACTTGAAAAACTAGAAAATATTGCTGGAGAAATTAAGAACCCCTATGTAAGCGAAAAACATCCTGTGTTCATGGATTAGAAAACTTAGTATTGTTTAGATGTTAGTACTCTCCAAAAGGATATATTTTTCCCATGTAATTTCTACTAAAATGCCACGGCCATTTTTTTCAGGAGTTGAAAACCTGCTCTTAAAATTTATATGGAAGTACAGGGGACCCAAAGTAGCCAAAGTAATATTGAACATTAAAAGCATAATTGGTAAGTCACACTTCTAGATTTCAAAATTCACTGCAAAGCCACAAAAATCAGAACAGTGTACTACTGGCATGAGAATACATTTATCATTCACTGATAAATCTTAGGAGTCCTGGGTCCTTGGGGCATCTGTAGTGCTGACTTTGGACTGTAGATAGCTTTGTGGTAATGGGGGAACAGAATCTCTGAATGGACTTCCTGGAAAGTTTTGCTGACTTGCAGTAGTTGGTCAGTATTCTTCATTAACTCTTGTCTGTCAGCATAGTATTTACATATTTCATTGGGGTGGCAGGGACTCAGCTCGAAATTCTGTACAGAAAAAGGCCCAAAGGGTTGGGCCATCTTCTACTGTTTTCTGAGTCCATAGCAGAGAGCTGGCTCGGAAGAGGAGCAGCTGGGACTATATATATATATGGTGCCCAAATGGGATGCTGGTGTTGCAGGCTGGGGCTTTAACCCACTGTGCCACAGCGCAGGCACCTCCTCTGGCTTTTATAGCCTTTTCTCATGTCTTTTATTGAAATCCCTAGAATTTGCTACCCTAGTTCAGAGATCCATTCCTTCACAATTGTATTGTTCTGTGTCTCAAAGTTTTAAAGTATCTTGCCTTGGTCATCTCTTTAGATTTCACTCTCTCGGGAAGATGCTCACATACATGCAAATTTATTACGATGTGTATACTTTTCTATTATTGATAAGCCTTATGTTAATTTAAATCTTAGATGTAGACTAAAGACTCACATAAGAACTAACGGGTGATAGAGGGGATCTCTCTCTGTCTCTGTCTCTCTGTCTCTCTCTGTCTCTCTCTCTCCTCCCTTCCCTCTCTCTCTCTCTTACACCCCAAGGAAGAAATGTCCCTAACCATTTTACGGTACTGACTCTGTTCTCTTAATCTTGTTCACCTTCCCTTTAGTCTTGTTATGTATATCTTGAGGATTTTGAGTATCTTACTTTCCTTCATGTTATATAAAACATATGCTCATGTTCTATTTCTGCACAGACTGGATCCTCCTTACTTTATAATTTTGGTTTTCTTTATATTTACACAATTTCCAGGTTTCTCATAAAAGCACTTTAAATCTACACACCTGGGTCAATAAATATTTGTCTCATTATGCTTTCACATTTTTCTAAAAATGTTCTCATAGGCACAATACATTCAAATTACTAAGCCTGGATATCTCTCCTACATTTTCATCCCACTCATCCTTTTTTGGTTCTCCTGTTATCTACCCATCATGATAATGTGTCTATCACTAAATTTGATCACACAAAATATGTACTAGAGATTTAGCAAAAATATGCTAAAAATACTAGAATTCATTTCACGCACTTATTGAGGACTTTCAATGTGCTGGGAAATGTTCACAGACTAGATCCTTGCAGTTGGAGAACTTGCATTCGAATAAGGAAGGTAGACTGCGAATTTGTAAATACACAAATAAGGAAAATAATTTCATAATGGTGCTTTAAGCTCTTCTTGCTTTTTCTAGTTTCCATCAAATTTTAGTTTGCCTCTTAGATTTTACCCCTAGCCTATATATTCTTATTCTTTCAGATCTGAAGCCTCTCTTAGAGCATGTTGGGTCGTCTGTGTAGAGTATCTTATTCAATTAAAATCTCATGATAAATTTCTAGATTTAGCTATTTGGGAAAAGTTTCTTCTGGTATTTGTTTAGTTATTTAGAAAAAGAGAATGAGAGAGAGAGAGAAAGAGAGAAAGAGAGAGAGAGAGAGAGAGAGAGAGAGAGAAATATGGATCTGATGATTAATTCCCCCCAGTGCCTGCAACAGATGAAACTGGGCCAGGAGAAAGCCACAAAGTAGCCAGGAACTTAGTCCAGGCATCCGACATGAATGCTGGCCCCAACTATTTGAGCCATCATTCGTTGCCTCGCAGGGTATGACTTAGCTAGAAACTGGAATTGAGAATTGTTTTTTGGAGCATTCATATTTGTGTTCCTTGCATGTCTCTTTTTTTGGTAGATGTTCTTTATTTTTTTTCAATTTTTATAATCTATAAAAGGTGAACAAGTGTTATGCATGTCATATATACAGATTTAGAAGCACAGTGATACTTCCCAACCTGGCCTCCCTCCTGCCTGCAGTCCTGTCTCCTTCCTCTTTGCTTTCTTATTCTTTCTCTTAATTTTTACAATGACATACTTTCAGTTTATTTTATAATCATAAGCTTAACACTCCACTAAGTAAACAATCAAAAAATGGTAAGAAGAAATAAAAACAATGTTCCTCAACAGTGGAGACAAGGGCTGTAAACAATACTCAGATCTCAAAATGTCAGGGCTGGTGCTGTGGCATAGTAGGCTAAGCCTCACCTGTGCCACCGGCATCCCATAAGGGTGCTGGTTCATGTCCCAGCTGCTCCTCTTCTGATCCCCGCTCTGCTTATGGACTGTACCCAGTAAGAGACCTGAAAGAGGCTCCTAGCTCCTGGCTTCAGATCGGCTTTGTTCCAGCTATTGTGGCCATTTGGGGAATGAAGCAGTGAATGGGAGACTTTTCTCTCTGTGTGACTCTACCTCTCAAATAAATAAATAAAAATATTAAAAATAATCTCAAAATGTCAATTTTGCTCATATATATTATATTTTCTGTACTCTGTTAGTTACCACAGATTAGGGAAAACATATGATATTTATCCTTTTGGAACTGGCTTATCTCACCAAGTATAATGGTTTCCAGATGCACTCATTTTGTTGAGAAAGACAGGATTTCATTCTTTTTTTTTTTTTATCATGATTTTAACATGATTCTTTGCATGTCTTGATTTATCTGTATCTCAGATTGTTCCCTATGGCTATTTCCATCAATTTCTGTTTCATTTTAGTCTTTGCGTGTGTTGTTTTTATCTACCCTATTTCCCACTTTGTTCTTCACTTACCTGTCTCCTTGAGACCAAGTTCCTAGCTGCCACAGAGAGATCTGGTGGAGTGAGTTCCTTCCCAGAGGGTGGTAGGTTGCTGATTCAGAGCTCCAGTCCGGCGTTTGGTTCTCTATGTGTGAATGGGGACTGTATTTCTCCTCGGAGAGGCAGGAAATGAACTCCGTTTCACTTTTATCTTGTCTTTTTGCCCCCCCTTTAAAAAAAAGTCAGCTGATTAAAAGGAAGTCTGATTGTGTCTTGTGTTGAGTCCTAGTAAAAAATTACTTTAATCTGAAATACACTGTGGTCTCCAGGAACTGGACTGATCAAAATCCAAAAGCTCAAAGTTCAGGCAAGATAGTTTTACATTGTTTGGATATAATTGGTCACAGTGTGTCCAGCGTTCCATGGCAATTATGTTAACTATAAGATAGCCTGATTTAAAGAGATAACCATTTTTGCAGTTACACTGGTAATACAAGTCACAGTAACCTGGAGATTAACTAAAAGGGACAAGAATATTAGAAAATCTTAGAATAGCCATATTTGCCATCCACTATTCAAGATTCTTGGAAATCAACAGCTAGCTGCTCCTATAAACAAAATGTTTCCCCCCTGAGAAATGTCCTTGAGCTATTTGGTGGCAGTTTCAGAGAAACTGCAGTAGGAGCCATTTTTTAAATTAAGCTTTCTCGAACAGGTCTTCAAAGAGGGAGGTGCCTTTCTCTGAAGGGAGGAGAGAACCTCCACTTTGACTATGACCTTGTCTAAACAAGATAAGAGTCGGAGAACTCAAGGGGCTTCCATAGCCTTGGAAACTCATGACTGGTGCATAGGGAGATTACTGATGCCATAAACAGGAGTGTCAATTTGTAAAGTCAACAACAGGAGTCACTGTGCACTTACTCCTCATGTAGGATCTCTGTCCTTAATGTGCTGTACACTGAGGCTTAATGCTATAACGAGTACTCAAACAGTATATTTCACTTTGTGTTTCTATGGGGGTGCAAACTGTTGAAATCTTTACTTAATGTACACTAAACTGATCTTCTGTTAAAAAAAAAAAAAAAAGAAAAGAAACTATCAATTCCCAACTTGACTCTCACTGGGATTAAACATGACAATAGGTCTGATCTGATTTCATCATCATTTAAAAAAAAATCATCTATTATTTTTCACTTTATGTTTCTGTGTGGGAACAAACTGTTGAAATCCTTACTTAAGGTATACTAAGCTGATCTTCTGTATACTAAGATAATCGAAAATGAATCTTGATGTGAATGGAAGGGGAGAGGGAGTGGGAAAGGGGAGGGTGGTGGGTGGGAGGGACGGTATGGGGGGGAAAGCCATTGTAACCCATGAGACGTACTTTGGAAATTTATATTCATTAAATAAAAGAAAAAGATAAAAAAAAAAAAAAAAAAAATAAATTAAGCTTTCTCTATTGGGAAATCAAGGGAAAGATAAGTGTCTCATTCAGTTTTGTTCAGCATCATATACAAACTCTCAACATGGGCAAAGAGGAGATCTAAAACTGATGTTCCACTGAGTGCTTTTGCTGAACACAAATGTTCTCATCCTTCTCTGATAGAGTGCATTCTACTTGAATTCTTGAGAGGTCTCATCGACTACAAAATCTATGATTTTGGGGTGGGGGTTCTGATGCAGTGGATTAAGCAGCTTTTTGGTATGCTCACATCTTTATTGCAGTGCTGGTTCAAGTCTTGGCTTTCTGTTTATGTACCTGGGAATGCAACATTTGATGGTCCTGGTACCTCGATCCCTGCCACACATATGGGAGATTCAGAAAGAGTTTCTTGCCCAAACCAAGCTGATTTAATTACTATGCCTTAGAATATATTTTATAATCACATAGTTCTTTTTAAAATTAATTATTTGAAAGGCAAAGATGAGAGGGAGAGAGAGAGAGTGAGAGAGAGAGAGAGGCCTTACATCCACTTGTTCATTCCCCGAAGTGCTGCAATAGCCAGGGCTTGGCTAGGTCAATGTCAGGAATGTGGAACTCCATCTGTGTCTCCCACATGAGTGGCTGAGGTTCAAGTACTTGGACCATCTTGCACTCCTTTCTCAGATGCCTTTGCAGGGAGTTGGACTGGAAATGGAGCAGCTGGGACATGAACCGATGTCCAAAGGGGATGTTGTGATGCTGGTGTCTCATGTGGCAGCCTAACCCACTATAGCACCACACTGGCTCCCCACATCAGGTAGTTTAACGCTTCCTGCTTTGTCGTTTTCCCGTAGAACTGCTTTAGTTATTCTGCATCTTTTGTGGTCTTATGCAATCTTAGCACTTTTTCTTTATATTTCTCAAAAAAAAAATCATTGGTATTGTTTTGATAAGAAATTGTATTAAGTCTCCAAATCTCATTAAGTAGTATGGAAATTTGAATGACATCGATTCATTCATTCATTCTTTCCCTTTGCTGTTGTCTTCCTCGATATTTTCCATCGTAATAGTTTTCTTTATTTTAACTTTTATTTAATAAATATAAATTTCCAAAGTACAACTTTTGGATTATAATTGTTTTTCCCTCATAACCTCCCTCCCACCTGCAACCATCACGTATCACACTCCCTCTCCCATCCCATTCTTCATCAAGATTCAGTTTCAATTATCTTTATATACAGAAGATCAATTTAATATATACTAAGTAAAGATTTCAACAATTTGCCCCCACACAAAAACACAAAAAATAAAGTACTGTTTTTTTTTTTTAACTTTTATTTAATGAATATAAATTTCCAAAGTACGACTTATGGATTACAATGGCTTCCCCCCAATACCGTCCCTCCCACCCACAACCCTCCCCTTTCCCACTCCCTCTCCCCTTCCATTCACATCAAGATTCATTTTCGATTATCTTAATATACAGAAGATCAGCTTAGTATACATTAAGTAAGGATTTCAACAGTTTGCTCCCACACAGAAACATAAAATGAAAAATAATAGATGATTTTTTTTAAGTGATGATGAAATCAGATCAGACCTATTGTCATGTTTAATCCCAGTGAGAGTCAAGTTGGGAATTGATAATTTCTTTCTTTCTTTTTTTTTTTTTTTTTACAGAAGATCAGTTTAGTATGCATTAAGTAAAGATTTCAACAGTTTGCACCCCCATAGAAACACAAAGTGAAATATATTGTTTGAGTACTTGTTATAGCATTAAATCTCAATGCACAGCACATTAAGGACAGAGATCCTACATGAGGAATAAGTGCACAGTGACTCCTGTTGTTGACTTTACCAATTGACACTCCTGTCTATGGCATCAGTAATCTCCCTATGCTCCAGTCATGAGTTTCCAAGGCTATGGAAGCCCTCTGAGTTCTCCGATTCTTATCTTGTTTAGACAAGGTCATAGTCAAAGTGGAGGTTCTCTCCTCCCTTCAGTGAAAGGTACCTCCTTCTTTGATGACCTGTTCTTTCCACTGGGATCTCACTCACAGAGATCTTTTGCCATAGTGTCTTGGCTTTCCATGCCTGAAATACTCTCATGAGCTTTTCAGCCAGCTCCGAATGCCTTTAGGGCTGATTCTGAGGCCAGAGTGCTATTTAGGACGTCTGCCATTCTATGAGTCTGCTGAGTATCTCACTTCCCATGTTGGATCACTCTCCCCTAATAAAGTACTGTTTGAATACTAGTTATACCATTAATTCACATAGTACAACACATTAAGGACAGAAATCCCACATGGGGAGTGAGTGCACAGTGAATCCTGTTGTTGATTTAACAATTGACACTCTTGTTTATGATGTCAATAATCTCCCGAGGCTTGTGTCATGAGCTGCCAAGGCTATGGAAGCCTCTTGAGTTCACCAACTCTGATCTTTTTTTTTTTTAACTTTTACTTAATGAATATAAATTTCCAAAGTACAGAATATGGATTACAATGGCTTCCCCCCCATAACGTCCCTCCAACCCGCAACCCTCCTCTTTCCCACTCCCTCTCCCCTTCCATTCACATCAAGATTCATTTTCGATTCTCTTTATATACAGAAGATCAGTTTAGCATACATAAAGTAAAGATTTCAACAGTTTGCTCCCACACAGAAACATAAAGTGAAAAATACTGTTTGAGTACTAGTTATAGCATTAAATCTCAATGTACAGCATACTAAGGACAAAGATTCTACATGAGGAGTAAGTGCACAGTGACTCCTGTTGTTGACTTAACAAATTGACACTCTTGTTTATGGCATCAGTAATCACCCTAGGCTCTTGTTATGAGCTGCCAAGGCTATGGAAGCCCCCTGAGTTCACTGACTCTGATAATATTTAGACAAGGCCATGGTCAAAGTGGAAGTTCTCTCCTCCCTTCAGAGAAAGGTACCTCCTTCTTTGATGACCCATTCTTTCCACTGGGATCTCACTAGTGGAGATCTTTCATTCAGGTCATTTTTTTTTCCACAGAGTGTCTTGGATTTCCATGCCTGAAATACTCTCATGGGCATTTCAGCCAGATCCACATGCCTTGAGGGCTGATTCTGAGGCCAGAGTGCTGTTAGGACATCTGCCATTCTATGGGTCTGCTGTGTATCTCACTTCCCATGTTGGATCATTCTCTCACTTTTTTATTCTATCAGCTAGTATTTGCAGACACTAGTCTTGTTTATGTGATCCCTTTGGTTCTTAGTCCTATCATTACGATCAATTGTGAACAGAAATTGATCACTGGGACTAGTGAGATGGCATTGGTACATGCCACCTTGATGGGGTTGAATTCGAATCCCCTGGTATGTTTCTAACTCTACCGTTTGAGGTAAGTCAGCTTGAGCATGTCCCGAATTGCACATCTCTTCCCTCTCTTATTCCCACTCTTACATTTAACAGCGATCACTTTTCAGTTAAGTTTCAGCACTTAAGAAGAATTGTGTATTGATTACAGTATTCAACCAAAAGTATTAAGTAGAACAAACAAAAAAATACTAAGAGGGATAACATATTAAGCTGCTCATCAACAGTCAGGGTGAGGGTTGATCAAGTCACCATTTTTCATGGTGTTCATTTCACTTTAACAGGTTTCCTTTTTGGTGCTCGGTTAGTTGTCACCTATCAAGGAGAACAAGTGGTATTTGTCCCTTTGGGATTGGCTTATTTCACTCAACATAATGTTTTCCAACTTCCTAACAGGGATCACTTTTCAGTTAAAATTTAAACACCTAAGAATAATTGTGTGTTAATTACAGAGTTCAACCAATGGTACAAGAACAAAAAAAATACTAACATGGATAAAGTATTACATTGTACATCAACCGTCAGGACAAGAGCTGATCAAGTCACTGTTTCTCATAGTGTCCATTTCACTTCAACAAGTTTCCCCTTTGGTGCTCAGTTAGTTGTCGCCAATCACGAGAACATACGCTATTTGTCCCTTTGGGACTGGCTTATTTCACTCAGCATGATGTTTTCCAAATTCCTCCATCTTGTTGCAAATGACCGGGTTTCGTTGTTTTTGACTGCTGTATAGTATTCTATAGAGTACATGTCCCATAATTTCTTTATCCAGTCTACTGTTGATGGGCATTTGGGTTGGTTCCAGGTCTTCGCTATTGTGAATTGAGCTGCAATAAACATTAATGTGCAGACAGCTTGTTTGTTTGCCAATTTAAATTCCTTTGGGTAAATTCCAAGGAGTGGGTTGGCTGGGTTGAATGGTAGGGTTATCTTCAGGTTTCTGAGGAATCTCCAGACTGACTTCCATAGTGGCTTAACCAATTTGCATTCCCACCAACAGTGGGTTAGTATCCGTTTTTCCCCACATCCTCTCCAGCATCTATTGTTGGTAGATTTCTGAATGTGAGCCATTCTAACTGAGGTGAGGTGGAACCTCATTGTGGTTTTGATTTGCATTTCCCTGATTGCTAGTGATCTTGAACATTTTTTCATGTGACTGTTGGCCATTTGGATTTCCTCTTTTGAAAAATGTCTATTGAGGTCCTTGGCCCATCTCTTCAGTGGGTTGTTTGTTTTGATGTTGTGGAGTTTCTTGATTTCTTTGTAGATTCTGGTGATCAACCCTTTATCAGTTGCACAGTTTGAAAATATATTTTCCCATTCTGTTGGTTGTCTCTTCACTTTCCTGACTGTTTCTTTTGCAGTACAGAAACTTCTCAATTTGATGCAATCCCAAATGTAAATTTTGGCTTTGACTCCCTGTGTTTCTGGGGTGTTTTCCAAGAAGTCATTGCCGGTACCTATATCTTGCAGGGTTTTTCCAATGCTCTCTAATAATTTGATGGTGTCAGC